ATTACTGTGTATGTAATTGTAGCAAAATGGTAGTTTATTAAAGGAATTTGTAGTGGGTAATACAAAAGAACCGTTCATTCAGCGACGAAAAGAAGAGTTAGAGTCATTCCTCAATTACCTCATTGAATGGAGAGATAATGACTTGGATATTGTGACGTTTCTTGGCATTAGTGCAGATGTAAGTTGTTGAAAGATTATTTGGAAAAGCATTCCTAATAACTGAGACTAATCAATATTATCCATTATGATGTAAAATTCTTACCGTTATTTTGTTTCAATTAGGCAATAATTAAAGAACATAAACAACGATCCGAGAAACAGAGGCAAGACAAAAGTATTCTAGTCGACAAAGACCGATTTCGCGTTAAACGATCTAGATCTGTAAGGTGGAGTGATCAATCATTCGAAGAGGAGTGGAAGGTTGCCAACAGCAATCAAACAAGTCAGTTTTGAAAAACAATTGTCAGTACAGCTGAACATCTAATCATGTGATGGGATAAAATGGGCTGATGCGATAATGAGCTTTAAAACGTTTATCAAGTGTGAGGAATAAATATGATAAGAGCATATTAGTATTCTTACTTTTCTCTCGCACACTCATTGCATTTAGTACATAGTATTCACTTCTTGCTACTTTTAATCTACTTTCTTCAGCTCACCGCACTTCTTTAGTCGTCTGGTAACCACTTGATGAACGGCAACTCTTCCAATCGCATAAAGCCACCCTCTCATCATTCTCATTATCCAGTTTAATATGTTCTCATTCTCGTCCCACTTCCCATTTTCTCCATACATGTTCACAAAATCCTTAGTCTTGTCAGTAATCACTCCATCCACCCCCCATCTTCTACAATCACCATACAAACAGTTATAATTAACCACCCACGCGAGAATCGATTGTCCGTTCGCATGAGCATTGTCTATGAATGACCGGCCATAGGATCCTGATAATGCTACATGTGTAAGATTATATCCTGCTACATTTGGAAAGTACGTCTGAGCTATATCAAGAGAGGATCCGATGTGCATGATGGGTATTTGGTTTAAATGAGAATGGCAGTAAGGAAGAAATAAAGGGTGTCGGATGCCAAGAGATAGGCGAGATTTGAATATCGATACATCGTCAGAGTATTTCTTTAGTATGTCAGCGAGTAAAGCTATGATTGTTGGATCATTGTTGGGTTTAATATCTATTACCGCAAAGACATGACAATTTTCTGGTCTCATCATGACATTGATGACGTCGTCTAGGCGAGGAATTGAACATTGTGGATGTGATTTAGTTGTCAAGTGTTCGATTACGCCGTAATATGGAATTGAAGAGATGCGACCGGACCCGGTTGTAGTTCGATCCAAGACTTCATCATGATGAACAATTATTTGATTGTCTGCGGTCTTCTGGATGTCTAATGTGCGAGTAGCACGGAAAGAACGTAATAGGGTCAGCATGAGATGGTATGTGATCATTACATGATTGATGCAGTTAATCATAATCCAAGTTCGATCAAGCATTCTGGTCATATCTAATCAGAGATTGTTTTACCGAATTCTATGCCGTCTGCTCCTTCCGCTATCGCTTGTTCTATCGAAAGAACCGTATTCTCAGGGTACCTTGCGCTTGCTCCCCTATGACCAATAATGTATGGTCTACCAATAGTAGAGCGTCCGAAAGAAATACTCATAATCGTGCCTATGCCGTAGACTGTAATAGACGTAATAAGACGGAGTCATTCATGAATGACGGGCACAAATCCCAAATTTCGCCAGATTAGCCAATGATAAAATTCTAGGCTTTTGCCGCGTTACACCCCAATTCTCAAGCACAAAATTCTTTAATAATGTTGTGTCTGAGTTTGAGACCTGTCTCAGTTCAAAACCCAATCACTCAGTCCAGAACTCAGTTGTCTCAATCCAAAAGAGCATCAGATTGTCTGAATAAGAGGAAAATACACGGTCAAAAAGTCATATTTTTAATATAAAAAAAGTTCTTATTATCTTAGCTTTCACCCTTGATCAACATGTCCGTCCTTTGCCAGAATAAATTTTAAGCCGTTTATCCAAAGTCAGTCTAAAAAAATTAGTCATTCGTTATTTTAAATTCTAGATGGGCTGTCCTTGTTAGAATTGGGGTTTAATTGTCTTGCCTAATATTTGGCACGTTGAAAAAGGATGTGTTTACATTTTGCCTGGTAATTAGCCGATAATGTATATAGTGGGGAGGAGGACTCGCTTCATACACAAAAGTATCAATAACGCCCTATAACGGTGGTATTAATTTGATAGATTAGGCCATTATTATAACTTCTTTATTCTTTGTTTCACTAATTTACTTGATTCTAATTGTGGTTCGTCTCTTGCTCTATTTAGTCTCGTGAATCCAAACAACACACTAATTAAAGACCCCGTTATATTTATAAATAACAAATTATTTATGTTATTGGCTACAATGTAAATAACATTCTAGACAGAACGGACAATTTCCCGGCAACCTGTCTAACTTCATATAAAGGCAAATTTGGTGCCGCCGTGCTTGCACGCGGTTATCGTGCGCCAGGTGACTGCAGCGGTTCTGTCACATTTATTATTGAACTTTGGGAAGTTTGATATACGCCAGAATTTTTTTCTCTGTATTCAGTATTCTGAGTATTGTTTATTTTACAATATAAGGACCCGTTTTCTCTATAAATTTGTTTCAATTACAGGGTTCAGTGGATTTGATCTAAAATAAATGTATTCAACTACTTTATATATCACTATGGATGCTCATCATGGTTATCGAAAAAACCAAGGTTATTTATCTTATTATTATATAATTTTAATGTTGTTGCAGCTATTATTTGTGTTCCAGAAATTAACTTGTGACATGATTTTTCCTTTGTTATATTATTGTTATTCCTAGTATTATATCACTGATTTCCTAAATTGTTGGCATATAAATAAGTTTTTTATCTAAACTTATCCACTGTCTTACAGATAAATTATTCTATCCAATGATAAAAAGTCTGCATTTTTTTCCAGCAAAAACACAAACAATACCAAATTTTAATATATTGTTATTTTACCTTTTAACAATTATAATTTCTCTACTTAATAATGCTTGTTGATATTCTCAAATATGTCAATTACTCTTGTTAGACAATTCAGCAGAAGCAGACAAATTTGAGTTAAAATTTAAACCATAAAATAATACAAACAGAATATGCATTAATTATAATATGCAAGATTCAATAGGAGTAATACATTGTTATTGTATTATCGAAAAAGGGAATGCAATACCACTTGCCTCATTCTTATTTGGATACCAAAGGATACCATATGGGCTGGGTGTACAAAAAAGATGTCCAATAAACAAATATTTAAACAAATTGGTAACTTTATTAAGCAATGTATTGCCTTAAATGAATGCATGTGCCAGTCAATAGGACGGTGCAGTTGTTGCCAAATACAAGTTTAAAACAATGACACGTTTTTACAACGACTCCCGCAGTCTGTTTGTTGATTTAATATTAAGGATTGAATTGTCACTTCTGAATTGTCTTTTTTTGGACTTGATCTGTGAACCACTCTTTCAACGCCATAAAGTAAAAAATAAAAAATTTTAATTCACTCGTACACAATTCTTTGTTTACCCACTTAAAACGTACTTTATTGTGATATTTTCTATGAATATACATATCCGCTTATAGCATTCAAAAACACATCGCTGTACAGGGACTCAAAAAGTTATTTAATCCAAAAAATTTTGCTCAATAACGAAAATAAAAGATTTAGGATACGTCGCTAGTAATAAAAAGGGGAAACTGAAAGAGTTATATCAAATAAAATAAGAAAAAAAAAGAGGGGGGAGGGGAGGGAAGAAAAAGAATACGGATAAATGTTCATACTTACAGAAGAACTAGGAATATTGTGGAAGCTATATAATACATATAGAACATAGAATAGCCCAAGGCAGAAATTGACCACTGAGCGCATTCCATATTCAAATAAGAGAAGGATTTTTATACAAGGTTCTTTCGAGTCAATACGAACAATCGATAGAGGTAAGTAAATCTTATATATAAACAGTAAGCCTATACAAAACTGTACAAAATGGCTTCCTCTGTGTAATCAGAGAAAGCCAATCTTTCTGTGCATATTATTCGATTCGAGTAAAAAACATAACGAAGGTAAAAAGTTTGTATGTAAACGTATTCGCTCGATGAGAATAATCGAAAAATTATATACAGCAAGCAACGAATGTCGACTAGACAATTTTTGAAAACAAGTCGAAGAGCGAAATATTGGGTGGGTCATATTCATTTAGTTTGTAAAAAATGCATATACGAAGGCATGAACGAATAAATTCTCAACCGTTTTTTTTTTGTGTTGCAAATAAAAACGTTGATAACCAGGAACTCGAATAAAATAGCGATAATGTACTGGAAAATAGAAATTTAAACGGGCTGACCGGTATTATGAGTTCCTGAGAGAGTCTTGGTTGACTTGGGCGAGTATGAAGCGCTGCGCATTTCTGACATTGTAACAGGAGAATTAAGCGGTGAGGGAGCATCTGGTTGTCCCTTTTCCGAAGAACGGAGCGACATCGAAGATTGTTTCCTGAGGTAGTCATGAGGTGTCTCGTTAGATGATGTTATCATGTCAATCGTTGGGACGACGGTAGAAGTCGGAGAAGCAGGAGGTGTCATGTAATTGTACGCTGAAAGATAATCTTTGAAGCGACATTCTTCACTACAGTATAATGAGCCCTGCTAAATAGAATATGAGACAGAAAGCATAATTAATAAAAATGATCGGAAATAATGAATACTTGTGTAATCATTGTTGCCCCGGACACTAATATTCTCTGTGTACCTGAGTCTTCGTTTCGCAAATTAGACACCAGTCCAGATCCATGTCAATGATAAAAGTTTACGTTCTAGACTGTCTGGTTATTTCAGACGTTTATGTAAACCGTACCGTATGTAAGGAAGATAGATAATAAATTGGAGAATGGTGAGTTTTATGAATAATCGATTCGAATGATAGAGGGGAGGGGGAGCAACGAAATGGAAGATATGTTTTCGTAGTAAGGATAGTTGGTAAAAATGTTTACGTGAATTGACCCTAATCCGTGAGACGTTGAGGTTGATGAGAACGAAGAACGAGACTGCTGATTGAATAGAACCGACGAATGCAGCAGAGAAAACTACAACCCAGCCAATTTGCAAGAGAGAATTGGGATGCTTGGCTGATGTCTTCCCGTCCGTGACCTCTTTTTGTCTGAAATGCAGTGGATGAGCGAGAGAAGGGTGTGGGAAAGTATGGGGATGTAAGTATATTTATAGAGTTAAAGTTGTATCACACGTACTTGATTACTATGTAGAAAGAAATTGAGTGAAAAGTGAACGGAAAAGAACAGAAGAGTACGTCGATACATGCATTTACATGTCTAATCGTATATGCCGTGTAACACATTTTATTATAACGATGTATATTAATATATTCGAGTAAGCAATACATAAGCAATATCAAATAAATAGCATTATTTATATTAGTACATAATATTGTCGTCGTCGCTATGAACGTTAATTTTCTGGGATGGCTTGAATGCATCAACAGTTTATTGCTGTGATAGGGATTATAATCGGTGTAATTTTACTGGCTGCACAACGCTAATCGATATTTACGATAGCAATCGGTTAGGGCTATTATCGAGGATCATTGACAAGATAGTGTTACTATCTATAAACGATAACTTGTTCAAGTAAAGTCATTTGGTACCACATCTTGGCTAGCTTGGATTGAACAATATTTGCCGATAACTGATAATGGATTTTTTGTTCGATCATCCTCATACTTATTTCCCCTATTCTTGCATATGATAACGTTCAGATAAAGCAATCTGAGAGAGCTTGGGGGAGCGAGAGCAGATACAACACAATTAATTATTGAATGATACATATATATTAACCAATGGCTCTACTCCATATATAGTCATTTCACTTGTTCTATTTTACTGTTCATTTACTTTGATGCTGATTTGCACTCCATTCTTCATCCTAGACTTGTATGGTATACACCGACGTTATGTCGTTTTGATTTCGTTTATTACTCATATGATATGCTATTTCCATATAGAGTAGAAACTTTATATTCCACGACAACGTCGGCGCGCATATCCACATTTATCATTATTATCTCTCAATACTGGCTTGCTTATCGACCATTGTGTATCGAGTATGGGGACGTCATTCTCGATCTACGTATGGGCAACTTTTTGCACCTTGTCCCTCGAGCCTCTCACATTCTACAATGTTATGGACAGTCCTACCCCCGCATTACCGATTGTGCACAAACTTGACAGGTGACCTCAATGAACCGTTACCATTAAAGTAGAAAGGACGAACAAATTAACGAATTTAACTGAACAAGTGGCAGATATTGTGAACAACAAATATAGAAATATTAAATATGATGTGTATGTAATTATATTTCTATTAAAGCATTTTCTGTTTATTGTCGTTATCGCACACTGTGGGGAGGAGAGGGGAATATTGATATTGTAAATGTAAGCGTGACTCGGTCTGTATGCAGAGAGACATACACTGCATTGCAGAAGAATCAAGCAGAGAAAGCAATAATTCCGAGTGAAAAAGATAATGGAGATAAAGATAGATACTTGTGATAATACTATTGATAGATGTTGTTTACTTATGATTGGCAAGATGATATCAATTTAACTGCATAGATTTACCCCATGCGTCGGTCTTTTAAGTATGCATTAATCATTAGAATGGTATCTAATGAGCGGAGACGATACACATAAAGCTGTATTACCGATGTTGTTACTACGATTATGCAACATTTTCATTGCTACTGTTTGTACGTGAGTAATCGGTCTTACTCATGTGTCTCCAAAATCGACAATGCATTTATTCGTAATCTTTACTGAACGTATAGTGAAAGTGACAAGTGCTAACTACTTGATATTGAGCCGTCTTTTAAGTGTAAAATCCAGTTACTGATACTTAATACTTACTAATTACTAATTTCAACTAACCCTAACCCTTTCTCCATGCAAACTCGTTATTCTCACCCGTTCATGCTCTTGCTGGGTTCCCAGGGTCTGCATAGCCTCTTCTTTGTCTCTAACTCAAGTCCTGCTACAAACCGCATGACACTCGCATATCATTTGCCTAACTATATGCAACTAGTCTGCATGAATCTACACAATGCTTTATCAATTACAGACTTTAATTATTACTTAATTAGTGTTAGTACGGTATGACTATACATAGCAAAGCCACTTAGTCCATCACGTGATATTATGTTTACAAAATCTGCATCATCGTAATACAGAACACCGCCTCTACTAGCACAATACGTCGTTAGTTGCTGATTATATAGCAAAACTGATGTTCTCGAAAGTTGGAAATCGTTTATTAGCATAATTAGATACATGCAAGCTCTAAACTTTCCTTGCACAGTAAAATTTCTTTGTTAAGAGCAAGCGCTCTTTTGCGGCAGGAAAAAGCCTGCACTCTTTGCCATTGAGTATAATTTCAACATGTGCTGGATAAAATTTTTTGACACATAAGAACAAAGTTTAGTTAGAGCACAACATTCACCTTTCATTTGTAGTTATTTAATGTAATTAAAACCCGTTTTATTCAATCAGAAAATAGTAAACGCCATAATAAAATAATATTAATTTGCTTAACAATTTATACTCAACGCCCTAAGGGCATTTATTAATTGCTCATCTCTCACCAGCGTATAATCCTAAACCGCCCAATTCGGTCTTCAAAACTCGTGTCGTGTTATGTTATGTTATGTAGAGAGACAAATAACCTACTCAAATGTGTTAATGCGAGTAGTCTTAACAGTACGCTTAGACCGGCGATAATAAATAACTATAATCGTTGTTTACTATACCATCAAATAACTATAGCCCCTGATGCTCTGAGAGATATAGAATTAGACTGTTAGCTGTTACACTCGAATATAAAATACGCTGTATCTACATAGAAATCAATATATTTATAAATACTTTGGACGCGTAATTTATTTACATCTAAAATAGACATACCGATAATTCTATATGCACATATCTGAATATCATTCTAACATTAATCAGAGAATTTATGTCTATGAAACTAACAAAAGTACTGTAGCTAATAAGTACGTTGAAAAGTTTTGCGCGTGTACCCTTATTTCCAGAAATTTCATAGTAATTATTGATACAACTATTTCATTCCCTCAAAGTACTCTCCATTAACATCCATGCAACGTTGCAGACGATTCTGCAAACTCTGTAAAGACTTTTCATAATCGGCTTTTGGGATGGTTTCAGCAACTGTCTGAGCAGCCATTGCCAAATTTTCGACCTTATCAAATCCTTTTCCCTTCAGTTCTTTTTTGATCCGAGGGAATAAGAAAAATCACAAGGAACACAGTCTGGACTGTATGGTAAGTGGGGGGAAAGTTTTACTTGTTCGTTATGAAGATACTCCGTTATGATCGTTGCCTTATGTGGTGCGGCAATGTCGTAATGAAGATGACGTCACGAACAGTTGTTCTCCCTTTTTTCTGGAGGCTCAGCTCATTATACAAAATGTAGGAAATTTTTTCACGAGAAATACTGATTTCGTTGGCTAATTTTTAATAAAAATGTGCGGGTTATCACCGCGACAATAATCAATAGCCAGTCTTATGTGCGCCTAAATAAAGACCTCGAAAACTCAATAGCCAGTCTTCTATAGCAACGCGTTGCGCATATGTTTACAAAGCCAATGCTACATAGTTATTTTATTATAACGAGTCTTGACGTGTGCTTCGTTAGGCTAGCCTCCAAGTATATGTGTAATCACGACTTTAGTTAAAGAATATAACCGCAGATTTATCGCAGAGCTTTCGTTCTGAAAGTAAATTATTCGATATCATTGGTTACTAGTACTAGTATGTTAGTCACTGGTTCATATAACATAGTTTATTTGGTTTGCATATAAAATGATGCTCATAAAGACACTTAAAGCTTATTAACAAAGGCTAATTTTGCATATGTTTCATACTATAGTATCATGGGCTTCTAACTTCATCTCATTCTCAAGGTCGTCGGCTAAAGCTTCAGCACGCTCCTTCTTGCCTTTGTAATAAACAACTGCCAGACCAATACCAATAACTACCCACCATGCAATATACGCAAGAGTTGTATGCAATGTGGCTTCGTTTCTCCAGCCAAGCAGAGCATTGGCAATTCTCCAACCATCATTCGTTTCCTGGTCACAACACTCGACTTCCCACAAGACAGTTTCGGGTCTTCCTGTTGCTTCGTGTAATTCGTCTACGGCTGTTGTGAACAAGCCACTGGAGATAAGAAATAAAAGTACAGTCATCGCGCCGAAGAAAATATTAAGCGACATAACGTTTGATCCCTTGTAAATAAAATAGCCAACAGCAATGCCAGCAAGAATCCCAGTAACAACGGGGATAGGAAGACCAGATGCTGGTTTATTAAAGCCAATCTAGAGATAAAATAATATATTATGCAGTGTGCAATTAGCTGCAAACTCGTACGTGACGCGTTCTTACCAATAATACAGTGAAACCTCTTGGCCGGATAGAAACCGGTGTATAGAATAGTACGCATATAATCATAATTAAGAACTGTTCCTGAAAATTTGGGCCGTCATCGCAAAAACTGGTATATACAGTGGGCGGTATAAAGAGATCTCACTGTATGTGTTTCATGTAGCATTGATTGAACTTACCCCAGCAATAAATACAAAGGATTCGAGTCCTTCTCTAGCGACAACACTGAATGGGAGAACGATCAAAGCCCATTTTTCTCCCTTCTTATGCTTGTCAAGATACCGTTCGGTTGCATCCTTCAGCTTTCCTTCCCACTTGGTCTTCCACTGCTTGACTCTTATCATACCGAATGACATTATTAACGTTACAATAGCAGCCAGCAATGAGAAAACACCCTCTGCAAATAATTAAAGTTAGGAATTGTGACGTGTATACTTTGACTATCGAAACGATAACGTTTAAATAGTTACCCCATATTGCTTCACTAGATTCCCAGAGATTAGATGCTATTGTGTAGAAAATAGTAACAAAGATAGCACCGAGAAATATCGTGAGAGCAAGTCCAGCGGCAGTGCCAACCCATATCTGTCTCTTTAATTTTCTTTTCAGTTCATGGTTGTCCTCTGGGACGAGTTTGTTAATAAAACTGAGAAGTACAGCAAGAATAACACTACATTCAATTGTCTCTCTGAAGAGAATAAAAAATGCGGGGACGTCAAATAAGTAAACCATTATTTTTAGCAACACTTGTATGTCAATGGTATATTCGATAGGAAGACCAAGTGGGAGGATGCGCATGGGATAAACGCATTTCGAGTGCGTGTTATATATAAACGAAAATGCATTAGGTAAAGGTGTTGAACAAGTAGAACAAAGTTTAACGGCAAAAATCGGAGATGAAACATCATACGAGTGATAAGAATAGCTGTCAGAAAAGAAATTTATACGTGATACTGTAAATAAATATGTGATCGATGGTTGGTTTATTTACCACATAAGTTTTGCAGTCCAATTTTCTTTCCATCATATTGGTGGCCAGTGGTGTCATTTACTAAAAGCGATATCCGACTTGGCGAATGTCAGTGGCAACAGTTTAAACCAATTCTGATCTTTAAAACTCAATTACAAAATACGAGTAGCATGTTATTACAATACATTAAAAACGCCATCCCGTATATGTTCAATTCAAGGGGAGATTCTAAACAGTATATTGTACAATAAACGTTTATTTGCTATTGTCGAATCTGATAAAGAATTTGTAACATGGACGTGAGAACCGAGTTAGAGCCAATCGAACATATTGTTACTTTATACCAAACTTAATACGCTTAATATGTGCAGACTTACTTATAGACTGTTGATCGTCAGTCGAACTAAACCACAGATTGTCCGGTATAGGCATATGGGATCCACTATTCGACGTGAACGAAAAACTTTTTTATAAATGGAAAGATCACAACGATTCAGTGTTGGAGAAAAAATTTTACAATGCAATATGTGAAAGCGAAATATCTGATAATCTGATAATTTGAAGTGACACCGCATAGGTTGTACACGGCGATGATCGGCAAGTAGAAGAATTTTTATTATCATACTAATACCGATACTCATACACCAATATATAATCGATCTGACATTATCATTCACTATCGCTCAAGATCTTTGAGTGCGAGACATAAAGCAGTCTGAGCATTATTCAATATGGCTGACAGAGAGTCAATTATTAGTGAAATCAGATCCGGATGACACACGAGGCTATTACTATGTCTAGTTAATCAGAAGTATTACATTGAACACTTGTTTTGTTGATCTTTGCCAGCTGTTACCTAATGATGCATGAAGACTGCGTTATCAGATTAAAAATAAATTCCATTAACGTACCGATTACTTAGACTTGCAGAGTACATTAACATTTCTTATCGTTCCCAATAAATAATATGACATACGCACAAATTCCTTAGTCAGAGCGTGCATCAGAGGTTATTATAGTCAAGAATGACACTTTTATGGTCGTACGGTATATTCAAATCACAAATGGACTAATTTTGACTAGTGTATAACGATAAACGTGTCGGGAAAAGTTCGGAATTATTGACTATAACCAAGGGGAATGGCATATATATATATAATAAGCAACTTATCTGATTTTTACACCAATTGTTTGTATTAAAATGCAGCGGAAATATTTGTCCTATCGATCCTAACTTTTTCATTGGTAGGTTTGTTTTATTTTTTATCCCCCTTAATATTAATGGTACTTACTCTTCATTCTTCCATTGGACTATTAATGGTAGCTACCCTATTAGTATTGGTTTATTTACTAGCTAATTCCAATTGGTTTCTCTTACAAGAGTGAGAACAGTGGTGCGTATTACCATTGTTTAATTACGACGGAGAATAACTACAAAAAAAAAACTCAACTAATAATACCGTCACGACGAATACCCGCTAACGAGTTTGAAAGGTTGTGTTAATATGCGCGATAAACATACCAATTATTCGCAAATGGGAAATTGTGATGAGCAACACTGAAACTACGTCATGTGTAAAATAACAATGTTTATAATGCATTTTGATTCATTTAATTTTGACAAACATAACAAACCAACCTCGGTGAGAATTTCAGAATAAGTACTATAAAACCTGCATAGAAAATTACAATTGATTCCATTATTACCAACTGTAACATTCACAGTCTCAATCGCAATATCTCTCCCAAAACCTTGTTGTCTGTAGGTTCCTTTATAGCATTGTTAAAGTACAATTTAAAAATAAAGATATCTTAATAGTAAGTGCAACAATCTCAAGTATTTAAATATAATCATTTAGTTAACCACGAGTTTAGGTTTATTTTACAGATTGTTTTTATTGATAATCCTAGTATTTATCCTTAAATTCGGAACATGCATATTGCAACAAAGATAATTTTGCGTTTAGGTAGTTATTATACTTTATTGTAAACCAATTGAAACAGTGAATCATAAGCAGCATAATTTAAATATTTCAGTTCCTGGTGTTTCTCGGATATTGTATATTGCGAGGACAGCCTTCGAAATAAGTTATATTTAGGTAACTTAGCGGCTTCTACCATGTAGTTTGTCAAGCTGTTCTAATTTCCATAACTTAATAATGTGTAGTCATACTGTATACCTCTTAACAATCAACACGTCCCGATAAACTATAGGAAAGTTTAACAGTGCTATTTAAGAGTTGAAGTCAATATTATATAGAATAAATTTTCTCCAACTAAATATATAAATAATTCCCTTTAAGCTTGCATAGCAACACAAATCCAGATTTCGATAATTTATAAGTGCCAACTTACGCGTTGTAAGGAAACAATTGTAGTAATGTATTATGACGGTCTAGAGCAGGCAAGGCATTACACAGTAAAGTTTGAACAAGTTATTGTATGCTAAATACAACACTAATGCATTATAGCAATTCCGATATCTACAGCTTTTTATCTTCAAAACATACGTTAAGCACCATTAGCAAGAGGGTACAGACATACTAACGCTTTGGGAGGAATAGTACCATCGAGACTGAGAAGTTATGGTCTATTTTTGACGAGTGACTGCATTATTCTAATATTTTCTGACGTATCGGGGCAATGATAACACGCATCATATTTCATTATTGTAAGTAGGGACAAAAGAATCAGATAACTTGCTTATTTGTTTTTGTCAAACTTTGATACATTCTCATTAGGGAATTGTCATATGTCATAATTACATAACCTCTATCAATGAACGTTATCCAATTATTTCTAATCTGATAATGCGCCTTCATGCATCATTTAAGTGACTAGAATTTATATGGTACAAAGATTAACTAGTTCATGTCCCACTCAGATCTGATTATCAAATGGTTGGTTAGAAAAATTTGAGAACTAGAACCTCTCGAGCTACATCAATAATTTGTGACAGTCATAGTAATAACACTTAGACTCCACACCAAAGCCAGACCGATAATGTCGAATCGATTATATGTTGGGTGTGTATAAACCCCTTATACCATCTCCGTGTACTACAACTATATGTGTACTACTAAGCTATATATGCAGTGTCACTTTAATTATCAGATTATCAGATATTCAAACACGCTTTTCATTTACGTCGAACATGGGGTCAATCTATGGTTTAGTTCCAAAACTCGGTTCTCACGTCCATGTTCCCAAAGCTTTATCAGATTCTATCAGATAACAATAAGAAATGTTGTGGAAAATGCTATTTGGAATCTCCCCCTTGATAAACAAGAAACTATAGTAATGTAATTGTTATAATAAAAACCAAGCATATACGCCCGATCATGGTAAAAGATTTTGTAAACTGAGTTCTAGATCGCATTCGCCCAGTCGAGAGACTTAAATAGTCAAACCGTCGATCATATGACTAATATTTATTTGTCTGGGCCCATTTCGAAATTGTTTCAATGATATCACATGAATCAAACGCAGTTTATTGGTGCATGAGACTATCAAATTATACATATGGGGCATGCTTTGCAATAAAACCAGACAAAGTAAACATTTTATTATGTGACATAAATGAGAGGTTGATGTGGCTGAAAGTTGACTAATTTGACTGATAGCATTTTGATTATCACAGCAATAACTTGTACACAAATTTATGTATCAAACTTCTATTACTATCTAAGAATTATACATGATTAATATAAGATTATGTCTATACAAAAATATAATAAAACTGATTTATATTAAATCTACCATGAATTACAGTACTATTCAAAGTATTTTAAAGAAAGCTCAAGGAGAAAAAATTGCTCCTATGTTTTTAAAATCATAAGTCCATAAAACAGATCGCCGATGACGTTTAGAGTAGTTACCCCATATTGATTCACTATTTTCCCAGAGATTAGACGCTACTGTATAAAAAATGGCAACGAAAGGTGTAGCAGTGCCAATCCACATCTGTCTTTTTAATTTTCTGGTTGTCTTCCGGGATGAGATTGCTAACAATGCTGAGAAGTACAGCAAGAACAACACAACTTTCAGTCGACTCTGAAGAATAAAAAATGCGACTGCGACAACTAAATAAACCATTATTCTCGGCTACACTAACCAAGTGATGGGATGCACACAGAATAGACGCATTGCGGGTGCGTATTATATACTGCATATGTATAACCGAAAATGCATGGGATAAGGGTGTTGAACAAGGCTAATGGAGATGAAACATCATACACATGATTATAGGTGTGCTGTATATATTAATTTTGAAAAAGAAATTATATGTGATACTATATAAATATATATATGTGAACAAGCTCGCTTAATTCCAACAAGATATTACCGGCAATATTTTAAAGGAGGAAGCAAACTATTTTGCAGCAAAGTTGTCAATAATAATTTTCATTCGTCGGAAGGGTGGTTGACAGGCTTTAAACATCGCCATTGACTTTGTTGATTAAGAAAGCAAGACGAAGATGCAACCATCTTTTGAACGAATAGAAATGGGCAAATTTCTTTGCTGAACTCCTTAGCACCTATAATCTTGAAATGGTGATGAAACCGGTCTTTCTGGAAGATAGAGCCTTCACGCGTTCTGGTGTACTAAATTATCAGGTCACAAGTGTATAGATCGTCGTTTGTATCCAGGAACGCAAACCTTCAAGGTTACAGCATAATCCAGAGTTTACTACTAAATTAACCATCAGTTATACAGATGACCATCACGTAAGGATATAGACGAAGCTTCATGGAAAAGGTTGCCCAAAGATTTTACTAATGGATCCAGAATATAATATTTTCTTGCAATATGTATGTTGTGTCTGAGTTTGGGACCTGTCTCAGTTCAGAACTCAGTTGTCTCGGTCCAGACTGAGACAGGCCCAAACTGGGGTACAACACGTACAAGAGTCTTGAGCGGTTTTTAATCTACATTAAAATCTTTTAGGCTATCTTCGTTGGATACTATCACACTAGAACAAAACCAGATTTAATGAATGGCCAAAATAGAACGAAGAATGTCCCTCACTGTGTATTTTATTTGTTTGCGAAGACAACTTTCTTCTTTCAAAGTTATGAAGCTTTATCTCTAATAATGGATAATTTGATTTAACCAATTCGAATAGAGCAACATTTATTAATTTGGTTCTGAATCTAAAGCGGGTTATATCTCTTTTGAGAGTGCGAGTATGATACATATTCGGATATGGGTATGGTAATTAGTCTTTCTTTTCGGATTCAGATTATGACACAGCTACATATTTATACTATGAATGTTTTGTTCAAATTATACAGTAAAATAAACGGATATGTCAGACACTTTGTAACTAGGGTTTCCTGGATAGTAATAAAACACCTGTGGAAACATTAGCGAAAAGATTATTACATCATGTCCTTTGAGAAACTCCAACGAATAGGTGGGAATTTGCACATTGATATGGAACAATGTTAAATAAATTATACAATAAACGATTGCAATAAATAAAACGTAAAAAGTAATTAGTTTGCGTATTTTCGGCACATTAACTTAACATGACTCTTCGTCAGCACACAGTTGACGCAGTAAGTAGCAATTCATATCACTACAATATTGTAGTATAGTAATGAAAATAACAACGGGCCCGTTACGATATTTAGTTTTGTTTTTTTTTTCATGCAGATTGTGGCGGTAGTATGACGGTAAAGTTACGACTAACGTATGTATAACGCTGCGGTACCGTCTCGTTGACGTTATTATTAGATATTCAACTAAGTTATTGCAGCACTAAATTTAGTACAATCACAAACACACCCATAAATAAAAATAAATAAATTTGTAATACAAAGAATGGGAATGGAATTTCATAGTGAGTTTATTTGGTTAGTAACAAAGTTTAAAAGGGACAAACTTTCCTTATTATTTTTGTGGTTGTTGAGATATGAGAGTCTTTGTCAACGCCATTATTTTTGTCACACGGTATATAAATAAAACTCCCTTTAGTGATTCTCGATTCATGTTTCACGAAGATCGTGTCAATAAACAAACCCCAGATTTGGTAAATATTATCTAGTATGGCTGCAGAAACAATTGTATTGGTGTGTTATAGCAGCCTAGAGCATGAGGCGAGGCATTTATGCAGATAAGTTATATGCTATGGAGAATACTATACGCATTTTACGGACAACACCTAGCGTAAAGAGAGCAATATTTTAATACGTTGACAAATAGATAAATAATGTTTACCAAGATTAAATCACAGCATTATTACCAGGAAACGTAATTTGATCTACAATGAAAATTGTATAGACTATTTGCGGTTAGCTTCCACCAAGTGGCAAATCTGACATCAACTTGTTATAATGCCTCTTTGTAGTTATCTTTATTATAGCAATTCCGATATCTTTGAGAAGGATAGTACGATCGAGACTGTGAGGATCATAAAGAAACGGTTACAACTTCTGTGTGTCAAGTATTCCGTACAGATTGTAATCACAGGCTGTTTGTAACACTCATCATAACACATCTATTTTCGATGCAGGCTTAGCACACACATATCGTCATTTTAGTATTAAATATTTCATTGTGGTTTGATCTATGTCTTATCAGGAATTCTACATATGTCATTCGTAATAATAACAGGGAAAATGATAAAGGTAAGCTTTGATAAGGAATGTACCCTGCAAGTCTCTATCAAGGAAATAATCCAATTATTTTTAGTCATATGCGCCTTCATGCATCATTGGAGTGACAAGAATTTATATGGAAATCACACCATACCATCTGATTATTAAATGATTGGTTAGGAAAATTTGAGAGCCTTGTATATCAGTCGTTTGTGTCTCGCACTCAAAAACGACTGATCTCGAGCGATAGTTATAGAATTGATTATATGTTGGGTGTGTCGATTTTTGTTTGATGCGTTACTTGTGTCCCGTGTACTACCAGACCGTCTATTCAGTGTCACTTCAGCTTATCAAATTATCAGATATTCAAACACACTTTGCATACTTCATTGTAAAAAATTTTCATTACATATTTGGGGTCCCACATGAAATGAAACAAACTTCAGGTTTCGTTGCAGGAGCGTGACTTCTGTATTACATCTTCCGCCAGTTAAAATCTCTGTACTCCCGTGTACATTTGATTTCCCAAACGAGAATTTTGGGCGGGGCAATAAACTAAAAATAATAGATCAATGGGTTCCGAATATTTGATATGTGTTTTTCAATAGAATACCACATCTGTTTCATAACCTGACAGAAATTCCGTAGTTGTCTATGTGACAAATATCCGCAGCGTTATATACTCCCACTTGGGATATCTAAAGGCGGGATATTTATAAATTGAGTAACGCAGGTCTGACCCTCGGACTTTTCTAAAAATGGGCGATTCGATTTTTAAAGCTAAATTAAAACAATGATGTTAATATTGTTGTGTAGTGTTACGTAGTCACAAAGTCAGCCACAGGGTGTGAAACAACAAGCCAAATCCTAGATTACAAACGAGCGAAGTTCTGATGACAAACGAGCATTTAAGGAAATAATACATAAATGCGGTCAAATCTAAGTGGTACTCGACTATACATAGAAATGGCATGACCTTTATGTATGACGAAAGCGCAACGGAATGTTGGGGATAGTAATAGGGGATATATAAATATATACAACAATATATACAACAATATATACAACTGAGAAATCGTAGTTGGTTACAATATCCAAGGTGGGATATATACAAATCTGTATGCTACTATACAAATTGATCATTTACATCGCATTGCATTGTTACAATTGTTACTGTATCTACAGTAGTATCGCATAATTGATTGTCAGAGAATCAGATGTCATTGTAGTTTAAAGTTTTTATATCATCTTGTGATTGTCTGCTCGCTGTAATACAAGAGTACGAGAAAAGTATCGGCAATATCCAAGATTAAAATTTTAACTGGCGAGAATGTAACACAAGGGTCACACTCCTGTAACAAAGGGACAATCAATGGGAAACCTGATTCTCCCAAATCTTACCGTGGAAATCTTTTTTAAAATATTCCCCTTGACAAACGAGAACTACAGAAATGTAATACTAAGATACGCCCGATCATGGAAAATGGAAACTGAGTTTATTGTACAGACAGTTGTATAGATCACTTGCACTAACATTCGCATTACCTTAGTAAATGAACCAATCATCTGTGCGAAGATTCGGAAGCAGCCGGCAGCTTGGGTAGACGAGAGACTACAACATTGTTATGCTATGAAATACTCAATGTCGATCAATGCCTAATATTATTTTTGGGAAAATATAAATAAAGACCTATAATTAACACACATTACACAGAATGATTTTTGATCTCCGAATTTTGTCATCAACTTTGTTTCCTTTTATTACATATATATAACACCGCTCGAGACTTTCATTCCATCCCACCCATCACTTGGTCTTCCTACCTACGATTAACTCTTTTTACACAAGCATAGCAATTGAAAATGGTTTATCTGTTTGACGTGCCTGCATTCTTTATATTGTTCAGGGAAACTGGTAAATACATAATTTAATCAATCAGTAAAATCATAATCCGTAACAATTAATTTACCTCATCAACTAATAACTTGGATCATAAATATTATAACCAGCCGAAACTTGTGTTATTCTTGCCGTGCTTCTCAGTATTGTTGTCAAACTCGTCCCAGAAGACAACCCACAACTAAGAAAAAAATTAAAGAGACAAATATGGATCGGTACTGCACTTGGACTTGTTGTCACATTGGTACTTGGTGCTATCTTCGTTGCCATTTTTTATACAATTGCATCTAATCTCTGGGCAAATAGTGAAGCAATATGGGGTAACTATTTAAACGTTATCGTTTCGATAGTCAAAGCATACACGCCTAACTTTAATCATCATTTATCATTACAGAGGGCGTCTTCTCACTGTTAGCCGCTATTGTAACGTTAATAATGGCATTCGGTATGATAAGAGTCAAGCAGTGGAAGACCAAATGGGAAGGAAAACTGAATGATGCAACCGAACGGTATCTTAACAGACATAAGAGGGGAGAAAAATGGGCTATGATCCTTCTCCCATTCACTGTTGTCGCTAGAGAAGGACTCGAATCCTTTGTGTTCATTGCTGGGGTAAGTCTAATGCTATATAAAATACATATCACTGCGAGAACGGTCACGTATGAGTTTGACTAATTCACACTGTATATAATTATCATCTCTAGATTGGCTTTGATAAACCAGCATCTGGTCTCCCTATCCCCGTTTTCACTGGGATTATTTGCGGCATTGCTGTTGGCTATCTTATTTACAGGGGATCAAACGCTGTGTCTCTTAATATTTTCTTCGGCGTTATGACTGTACTTTTATTTTTCATCTCCTCTGGCTTGTTCTCAGGAGCCGTGTTCGAATTTAGCGAAGCAGCAGGAAGACCCGTAAAAGTTCTGTGGGATACCAAATGCTGTGACCCCGAAACGAACAGTGGTTGGAGTGTTCTCCATGCTCTGTTTGGCTGGAGAGACGTAGCCACATTGGACACAACTCTTGCATATATTGCGTGGTGGGTGCTTATTGCCATTGGTCTGGTAATTGTTCATTACAAAAACAAGAGAGAAACTATTGATGTTACAGGCGAGATTGAGAATGAGGGGAAGTCGGAAACCCGTGATAATGTAGTGTGAATACATATACCAAAATTAGTTTTGTTAAGATTTAGTATTATTTTTGAGCAATGTTATTTTTTTTAATATTATTTTTTATGTGAATAGACCAGCCAGCTAATAATTTAAGTTGCGCTGAGCTGTAAAATAATGCTGCTAACTTTACTTACGGAATAAAAACTGTATAATAATTTTTATATCATATAACGTGTTACATCAGTGTTTCTCCGGAAATGATAATTTAAACAATAACGCTCTGATTCAAAAAAGGTTTTATTCAAAAAAAAAAAAACAAGTCTTTTTTGGGCACACGCCCCATGTGACTTTTGCTGATTCGTAACAATTCTATTTAACGTTTGCATGTTGTAGAACTAATATCGATATACAAACATTAACTTTTGTAACCATAAATATACATCTGTTGTGATTGAGTAATGCGCGACAATGCGTAGAATATTGCATATATGCTTTAACACTTTTTGCAAATACCGTAATTCAGACTTTTTACACCTTTAAACGTTACCATAAACGAGAACACAAATTATTGATTAATGATATGTTTGAGATTAATATTGATATTTCATGTCATTATGCAGTTGTTAGACTGTATTGATATTGATTAACTTTTCAACAACGATGGTCACCATTTCTGAGAGCAGAATACTTAACCGGAAAGTAATAATTTTTACACAATGCAAGACATATTGTAACAATGTGCCTCACCATTTTAAATGTGTGTTTTTTTTAATACATTAACTGTTTATAAGTTACTTTCTAAATTGTTTAATACTATTTGTAAAAACCCTAATTTTATCGCCAACCTGTTTTTCGATGAATCTTAAAAAGGTAAACAATTCGCTTCCATGGAAAAAGCCAGCAGAACGGAACACTTTGCTAAACCGGATTTTACTGTGTACCATTCGCATACCAATATGCAATGCTAGAAATTAAATTTTCCGAGGCTCATGCATGCCAAGAATAGTGCTGTCATTAGAATATTAATTCAAGCTAAACCGCCAGCACTTTGCTAAACCAGATTTTACTGTGTACCATTCGCATACCAAATATGCAATGCTGAAATTAAATTTTCCCGAGGTTCATGCATGCCAAGACTAATGCTGTCATTAGAATATCAATTCACAATGTAGGCGCTAAACCGGATTTTACTGTGTACCATTCGCATAACCAAATATTTATACCAGAAGTTAATTTCCCGCATGCCAAGGGTAGCTCATAAATGTCACAATTATAATGTACAGTAGACGCTAAAAACAACAAGCAATTACAGTTGATAGAACAATGTAGCATCCTAATTTCGCGCACGTGACTCTCGTGATATACACAAGCAATAAAATATCGATTTGAGAGGTCAAGTCAGATCGTAACCAAGTAAGGCAAGCTAATAAATTATACGTCAAAGTCGTCCCTGTAGGAGGAATGTGTCAATGCCAAAAGTGTGGCACTAGAAACATCACCAGCAGAGCGTCTCTATATGCAAACTGATAAACCCTACACATGCACGACTGAGAGAAAAAAGAGGTAAGAAGGAAAGGTTGATTCCCAAGCCAAATATACTGGCCATCCGACATTACAAGTTGAATGCATCTTCTCAAAAAACCCTTCTTTATACACATATCCATCTATTAAAAACACTATTTAATTAATGGCACACATCATTATAACAGCCGTTTCATAATCTAAGTCTATGATCACTTTCCCAGTTACAAAGATATAACGAAAGTATGGTACAAGTGACTCTCGATATAAGAAAGTGATCGGGCCCAACAAATTCCTTTCTTATATAACGAGAGTTATTTATTATAAGATTTTAAATCAGGTCCAGCAAAATCTTTCTTATATCGAAAGTTTCTTATATCGAGAGCCACGCGTACTAATTGCTGTATGAATAATGAAATAAAAAGCCTTATTCGTTTAGCGATATACGCAAAGAATTTGCTATCAATTATCCGTAGCAAGTTTCCTTCTCTATATCGAGGGAAAATTGATAGCACTGTCATGTATCTTGGAAAATCGCGGCAAGTTCGGTTGGTTTATTACATCCATGGTGTAATAAGATCAAATTGCTGATTCAACAACGTTCTAATCGACATAATTTGCGTTTTTCAATCCTGTCTACATGTCAACATCAGGATACTGTATGCTTTGAATTGGCAGAATGGTAGCAGAGGCTTTGGCTATTCTTTACAAGTCTAAAATTTTCATATATAAAACACCAGAAGTTAAACCTCACGCTAAAACTGCCACTCCACACTTACTCTAATACAAAGTCGAATAAGAGCATCCAACACATGCCATATGCCCATATCATACCATGCTTTCACATCATCATCTAGTCATTCGTCCTTCTTTTCCAAAAGTACTGCCTCTGACTTTCTGAGTTTCATGAAGCTATCCACTAAACAAATCGCAGGAACTATCAAATACGGCAAATAGAATAGAATCAGACTCATCCTCTGTTGATCAGAAACTCCATTTTCATGCGTGCCGAATATGAATTCAGCAATACATAGTCCTGTTGCAGTCACAACGTGGGTTGAGTAAACCACGAAAGGAAGTCTAATGGAGGGAGAATCTATACAAATGGTAAAGAAATGAGCCAAATTAAAAAGACTGTACAATCAACTGCCTTTAATTCGACCACCCGCGTTCCGGAGTCATCGGTCGAATTAACGTACAAGTCGAATTAACGACAAACGTACTTAATAATATTAAAAAATCGGGTCTTGCTCAAGGCGATCGAATTACTGGGAAAGTCGAATTATGGGGAGCCGAATTATCGGCAGTCGACTGTATGTTGTAAACGCGCCAATGCTCAGTGTTTTGATGCTTACCTTTCCATAATCCGATAGCAGCATAAAAGAAAAAGGGCGTTTGTATCAATAATTCAGTATACGACAAGGCGCTAAACCATGTCTTCTTATTGTCCACAAACAGTGGATCGTTATATGTCTCGATATAGTAATCTGCAGCAGCTGTGAGGACGTATGGAGGCTTGTCAAATAACTTGGAGAAAAGTCCATTGGTATCCACAAGCAATGTCGCTGGAATATGGGTCGTAAAGTAAATGAAATAAAGAAGATCTAATTCGTAGAGAAAAGTTGAATACAAGTTAGTCGGCTGCGACGAGATGAAACTTAACTAGAGCAACCTCGTGCGGAGTATCTGAATACCTAGCCAACGGGAAGTCAGCGGCCGACGCTGTGACGACATTTTTCTTTTCGAGTGAGCAAAAGAGCCGTTTCCAAATCCATGTTTCCAAGAATAATGATTATTATTGGTTGTTTGTGAACCATGTGATAATCTCCAAATATGGGTTGTGGTAAATGCACAGGGCGACGATTTTTCAAGCAACGCTGGCCGTTTCAGTGCTATAATCCATGCCTCCCAAATTACTATTGTTCTCTTATTTTAAACACGGTGTATCGAAGGAGGTTTTCTCGGGGATTGACAAAAGCCCAGTTTTCAAGCATAGTTTATCAGAAATCGCAATTGATTCAAACACAGTTGGGCCAGTAGATCAATATTTTTAATACGTCATAACACCGTATTAAATGTTGTCGGGTTTTTTGTTTACTATATAACAAAGATTTTTCACTACACCGGATATTTCTTTGTAATAAAAAAGCCTCGACATCAATTATCAATATAAACATTAACGGCAGAATCCATACTCAACTCAATTATTTAACAATAGCAAGGTTTTGCATATAATAAATTCGTTAAAATACGAAACTAGCTTACATTGCCTTCGGCATAACATCTCCCATTTTATTACCGATAATTAGTTTTGACTGCTAATACTAATTGGTTCTCATTACTCAGTCACGCAAATCAACATCATTATGCAGTAATAACACGTGAACATGTGTTATTACTGCATAATCTCTAAATGCACGATCCGCACTTTCGGTGTTTAGGAAGGAGAGTATTTGGAAATGTAAAAATAAGGCTAATGGCAAATTAATATTTGTTTTGCTTTTTTCCAGACATGAAATTTTAATGATTTTTCTGATATTGCCACGTAAACCATTTTACTATCTTAAAATTCGTTCTCAAAGCGGCCTTTTTAGTAACAATTTATAGTTTACTGATGTTTTTTTTTTTTTTTTGCAACAAGTACACAAAAATATTATATTAGAATTACTATTACGTAGACAATGGTAAACAAATATTTACTAAGCTCTACTCAATAGAGGGACATTATTTTACTCTGAAACGAACACAATCATCCTGTGCACCACGCTTAGCTACTGGCATAACCAAAGGAGCATGGGAAGCCGATGCAGAAAGAGTGCACAACCTATAAAGTCCAGCACTTAACCCATCAACTTTTTGTTTAAAAAGACCGTTTTTTCCTGTTTTCCCGTTAAGTGCCGCAAAGAATTCAAATTTGCTGGCATCCGGAGGCGTATGCAGGTTCTTTAGTTTCTGAACGGTAATGTGAGAATGGCCTTGGATTTTACCTTGTTTATTCAATCTTTGAGGAACTTTGTAGTACTTATGTTCGGGGTCAAGGAAAAAACCGGAATCCAAGTTTGTCACTTTCACGGCAGCTGTGAATGGTTTATTTGCTTTTATTGTCGTCTCCGGCGTTGGGAAGAGAACGAGGGTTGAGACCATATTGTCAACATCGGGAATTTCACCAAGTGCAGTGGAAGAGCAAGTTGCCTTGTCTGGTACTTGAACGCCGTCTACTTGAGGGAAAGGAGATGTAGCGCAAAACCCAGTCTTGCTGGTTTTAGCGTACACTGCCAAGACGAGAGCCAGAAATATAGCGTAAAACGTGGTCAACCGCATTGTATATACCATTAAATCAACTAATTACAATGAAAAGACGAGATTATTTGAGATATGTATGAATTCTACGTCAACGTAGAGAGATGCTTTGATTATGTGGAGAATATACAGTGACTTTTTGCTACAACCTGTGGATTGTTTTCCAAATGTTCCCTTATTTATGTGTTTTTTGCTTGCCAAGTAAATTGCTTACATTTGTTATATCGGCTGAACACATGAATGTTGCACGTGTTAAAAAAAAAAGGAAATGCAAGGAAATGCGAAAATGATGTTTCAAGGAACAATTACCTTAATATTGTCGACAATTCAACGTAATTGTTCCGTCATCATTATTTTGTAAATCCTAAAGATCCATATGATTTATGTTCCACATGATTTATTAATCAGTTGAGAATTGACAAGCCTGCCTATAACCCCCGATAATATATGTCTCGTTTTAGTATATATTCGTATAGCGAGCGGATGGGTTTAGAATAGGTTTAATATTAAGAGATCTGCTCCTTGTGTGGCAGGATTTGCGTGGAAATCACAAGGAGTAACACGAACAATTTTAGAACATGCGAATAACGAATCACATGTATTCTCAATGTTGATCTATGATGTGATGCAGTATTCCGTTCTGTTAATTAATTCCAATGTTCAAGCATTCCCAGTCAAGTTTAATCTTACGAGTTTCCCACGGTTTATCATGTTGCAAAAAAAAGAAGCCCAGAACTGAATTGTTTTGCCAGATTATTCTTGCTTTCTTAACAGTACAGCAAGCTTTTCGGCTTAATATTAATTCTGGTTAGTGTTTCGGGGAAAAAAATGAAAAATGTCGCCGTCAATCAAAAAGTTATTCTTTTCTGGAAGCGTCCCACAAGATAAAAATCAGGTGGTTGGATGGAAAGCATGGATAAAAAATATTGAAGTACATTCAAGTGATGTGATAGGAAACAATGAGCCCATATTATTTCCCAACGTAATCACTTTAGACCTGTCGAGACAGGTTACAATTTACCTTTTCTCCTTCTGATATAATAAAAAAGAGACTCGTAATAAATTAGACACGTAAATGTTGCTGTAGAGAATAATACACTAAAGTTACGATCTCTAATGAGAAAGTTGTACAAGTGATAAACCACGTTTTTCAACCTACTAAGGATTAGTAGTTAGAATAATAACACAAAAGAATAGAGGTTTAATTTCGTAATATTTCATAAGAATAGGTCTTTGTTGTAGGATATGCAGTATAGCAATTCCACATGACGGCTTAAATTTTAGACTTACTGACTGTTAATTTCTTCGCTATACAATTAAAACTGTGGATTAACCAGTTAATGCAAATTTTACCAAAAATTTGTTGGTAACAATAGTTAGAGGCATTATTCGTACTCTCTCATTTATTTTATGGATTGAAGAAATTTGTATATTACGGTATACGACAATGTTCCGGTTAACTATTTAAGACCTAACTAAACTGTTAAGACATATGCTTGGAAATCGGCCAATAAACTTGTCTTTCACATCAACAGTTGTTCTAACGATTTACTAAAACGCTCACCCATCGTGTTTTTACTTGTTATTGTGGAGTTTTAATTACATTAATATGGAATATTACTCTTGGCTTATACAACAATCACAAACAGTATATACTACCTCAACTGAGCTAGGATGTTCTATTGCGTAATATAGAGTGCGACTTGTAATCGATTAATAAAACATATGAAAATGATTTTCGTAATAGGTTGTATTACATGGATTAATAAGGATGTGCGGCACATGATTTTCATACGACTGAACGTATCAATAATGTACAGCCATCCCCCAATACAGTCACCCCCACGCAGTCCCCTCCACGCAGTCACCTCCACGCAGTCACAATTGTGTTATACTCACCATCATCGTTTTGCGGTGAACGAATGACATGTTGATATGTAAGTTACCCCTTATATAGTCACCACAATAATACCGAATTAGCTCGAAGAGTAAAGTTTATTACAAAGATTTACTGTCGCTGCACTATGTACCACTGCTGCACTATGTACCACTGCTGCACTATGTACCACTGCATAATGAAACAAAAATCTTTGGTTAAATAAAGAGGTTGCTTGCATAGTATGTTTTTATTGCAGTTGCTTTTCGTTCTTAATATTTTCTGTGACAAAGATACCACTTGGTAGTTTTATTTACTTACTATACGTTTACAGTCACCATCCTGAACATACAACGCCGCGGTGACTATATGAGGGTTTAATTTATATGATTATTTCGAAAAGTACAATCAATTAGCTTTAAACCGATATCAAAAATTATTTGTGACCCACATAGTAAATATGTACAATAGAGTTTTACTAATACGATTCCCATTTATTTTTGCTAGATAAATGTATAAAAGATTTTGCTCTAATATTGCAGTATTGTACGAAAGTTAAACTGTCCAACATTCGTCTTTACGAACACTTTTCTTACACCAACATATCAATATAAACCTCTCTAAGTGCACGCTGCCTAACGTGATCGACGTTTCTATTGACCAATTATATTACTACTATTCTCTTTGTTAATTATCTTGTGGTTACCGTTGTAGTACCAGTAATTTGTTTACTTCTTGAACCAACTCTTCGATCAATTTTAGGCTATTGCGAAGAAATGTCTAAATAGGAAATACTAACACGCCAATCAATCGAAAATTGTATTTTGTTTGTTCGAAATGTACAAGCAAATTTCGGTGTCGACATATTCAGTACTTCGCCATAACCTGTCTAATAAGCATTACAATCGACTCTCCCTAAATGCACACTCTATATTCTGCACGTGCAAGGGATTTTGACAATCCCGGCTATATGAGAATTACGTGTATTCTCTAAATGCACACACGTAATTTTAAGTATAAATTTAGTAAGCAGACATAGTTATTGTCATACATCAGGTAAATTATAATTGGTAGGATTTTGCAACATTCGGTTTGATTCAAATGTATTACTTTAATGTATTACCGAACGTTAAACGCATATTGCCATAAAGTTAATTGCAAATAAACTATAACGGAATTAAGAAAGTGTACATAATAATGGTATCACGTGAGCATGTGTTACCACTCCGTAAATGCATTATTCTCTAAGTGCACGGTTGTGCATTTAGGGAGAGTCGACAATATTGTACTGGGTGCCAAGGAGAAAAAAAGGATTGATTTCTTGCTATTGAATTAATATCTGCGTACTTTTAATACAGCCGCTTGTCGAACATAAAAGGGATTAAGAAGCCTATCTGTGGTAAACTTAATCGAAAAGTGTACTTTCCAGACTGTTGGTAGAAAAGTATCTATAACTGTAATTTAGTACACATAATGTCGAGTTGAAAAGCTATCATTTAATGTGGCAGATTAATACGAAACTACAGTCAACCGTCACATATCGAAGTTTTTTTAAAAAAAATGGTGGCTGTTAATTCTTTATGTTTATTATTGAAATTGCTGGAGGTAATGCGACTATAGACTGAGTTTTATATGGTGTGACTATCGAAGGGACTATAGATAGGAGGTGACTGTATTAGAGGAAAGTATCAATTAATACCAAACTATTAGGAATTAAATATATCATTGAATTTGCCATAAATGAAATTCAGAATCTTTATTTTAATATAGACTTTTGCTGCCTCTGGCAATAATGTCGTTTCGTTGCACAAACGATTATTTTCTCTAAATGCTCCCGATGGCGTGTATTTAGAGAGGTTTACTGATCTGTATAAGCTTTAATTAGAAAGTCTATTTCTCATGTCTAACTGAAAATGGTATGCTGATCAAAAATGTATATGATAAATCTTTACTTTTTATTATCAGACAATTTTACTTAACAAATTACGTTACGAAAAAATTTAATCCTTGACTAAAGTTATTTACAAGTGGCTCGCGATATAAGAAAGTGATTGGGACCCATAATAAAAAATCTTAGAATCTTTCTTATACCGAGAGTTTATTAGTAACTTTCTTATATAGAGATAGTTTCATATAGACTATTTTTTAGATCAACTTTCTTATATCAAATTTTAATTAGTGTTTCTTATATCGAGAGCTTCTTATATCGAGTTTCACTTGTATTATCTATATATATAATCAATAACAGGTGGGATTGCCCTTTGCTTTTATTACTGCAGAAATGCGCCGTGGCATGCTATCTACCAAATTTGCTAATACTTCTGGCTCGATTCTATTCCATTCTTCTACCAAAAATTCAAAAAGTTCTTGCCGGTTTTTTGGCGGTGAAGGGCGGTAAATGTTCTTCTATGACTTCTAAGTACTTTGAATTGTGACTGAACCTTACAGCAAAACTAAAGGACCAATACAATCATGTGCAAAACAACCCCATACCATCACCGCAGCTGAGGGTTTGACGGTAGGGATTAAACAATCTATACTATACCTTTCATTTGGCAATCGCCATACTCGCTTTTAAGATGGTTAATATCAAACAATTTAAACTGAGATTCATCGCTGAAGATAACCCTGTTTCATTCAACCGTCCAGTTCTTCTTATCCCCACAAAATTAGTCTATTTTTCTTACTTTTAATATTTGTCTTACCCCAACACGCGCAAAGTAGCCTTCTTCATGTAATACGCTCCGTACACAAGCACGCATCAACTTTGTTCCAATTTCCAAGGGAAAATTATTACTTGATACACTCATAATAAATCTTTATTATTTAAAATTTCTAAAAATCGTATAAGGAACAGTCCTCTGACTCTTATATTTTTTGACAGCAAATTCTGCCTGTGGTCCTTTCAATCCCTTCCGATAGCAATCCATAAATCATTTGGACCTGACTGCATATTTTCGTATCGTCTGCAGAGAAATCGAATTAAATGCAGATGGAAGAGTTTTCTTCAAACCATTCCAAGTGTTGCCGTGTATATCTCTTAACAGTGCCCCAATAAAATTTAACTCAGGATGAAATTTGGGATAGAAGTGTTGTATGTCAGATCAGAATTTATGTCCATTCCGAACGGACATATGTCAGATCG